AATCCGGCCTACATCCCCACTCCCGATGCTGATGACACCTGGGGCGAATGGAACAATAGCCACTACACCGACAACTACCATCACAACACTACTCGACCCAACTCTCCTGCCGATCCACCACCACCTGAACCATCTACCAACCCACCATCGCACACCACAGCACCACTTGGAGCCGTGTCCTTCCGCGTCCCTGACGGCGACAGCGAAAACTCTGAGGTGACAGATGCAATTTCGATCTCAAAATTTGACACGAATGACATCGACCTCAGTGAAATGGTTGAGGCTGCCAATGATCCACTTAGGGTTCGTTGCTTGACTGAACTTGACCCCAACCATACCGTGCCCCTACGCCAATCATTGACCCCGGCCAACTTGCAGCTCTTCAACCAATTCGTTGACGAGATGTTTCAACAGTTGGCTCAACCATACCGCACCGTCAACAACCAACTTATTTATATCAAAACAAGCCAAGCCACCGTCAAGAACATTGCCAGGGCCTTTGCACAATCCAACTTGCTGGACACCGAGCTTGCAAGGCAAACCAAAGCCTTTTACATCGAGCCAGAGAACCTGCTGACCATCACGGTCCCCACGGGATTGCCCAAGAAACCGATCTATCGTGGCGAGCACATGGGCACCTACCTGATTTACCACAAAACGAGTTGGGAAACAGTTGCCAAAATCCTCGCGGAAGACTGCATTCGTCCGGCAACTTGGACAAAAAACGAAGCCGGCTTCCCGACCCAATACCCATGCCACGGGTTCTTCGGTATGTCCTCTGAGATTGCTGACATTGACACCCTGCCGGGCTACGCTGTCAAAATATGTACATCTCAGCTCTACCGCATAGGGAAAGGACAAAACCCATCGGGCCTATTGGCCATTTGTCGCTCACCCAAATGCATACGAGCCCTTCCTGGAGGAAATGACCAAATTCAACGCTTGTGCAACCTCGCGGGCATCGCCAAGGGCAAAGACAATGCAACGGCTATGAACTCCAGCGCTGCATCCATATGCTATGTTGCTTCTACTCACACGGTTTTCCGGGCTTGATCACACACCAGGCAGCTGAGACAAATCCACCACCTGAACCTCCAACCGATCATGCACGTCCAGTACGACCTGACCCTGCTGATGACACACCAGCACCTTCGAACCCACCCCCAGACGACTCTCGAGACACAACCAGCCACCACGAGACCACTGAGTCTGCCTCTCGAGATCATGCTCGCCGACCTTGGCACGACAATGCTTCTTGGGACCACTCAACCTACAGCCGTCGAGATCGCCGCTCTTCCCATCACGAAGGCCATTCTCGAGACCAGCACCGTGAAGGCCAATCTCGTTCTCGACACTCGACACACAACTACTCCAGATCTCGTTGGTAAACACTTTATCCTTGAGGAGTACCAGAACAAGTGTCGACTATTCTACGACAGCGATCAAGTGAGCCTAGTGGCCCTGCCCGATTCTTTTGGAGTAACAATGCTTCTCCCGACATTCGGTATTGATGCCACTTCTTCCCTCAAAAGGTTTGTGAATTGCTGCTGCATGCTCATGATATTTGAACTTTGCGTCAGCTTTGTTTTTCACCTCACGTTTCACAGACAGGGACCACGTATCATGTTTCACACCGTTTCAATCGCAAGCTCTCTTCGTATCACCTTTGAACTTCACCGCAGCTTTCAGTTGGCCGATCGAGCTTATTTTGACCTATTATCTCGTGGCCCCCGTCTACATCATGGCGTCCCAGGATCTGATCTCCCAGTTCGGCTCTGACGTGAACACAGTTCCTCCTTCCCAGCCGGATCGCTCTCGCACACCTCCTCGTCATCAACATGGTTGGCACCAAACAGTACCTGTGTTCCGTGGCCCGATGCACTATATGCAATGACGACCCATCGACCTTTTTGGAGCCCTTCCGGGATACCGCCTCCGCCACCTACATCTACATCGTTCCCAACACGCCCACCATGGACTCCATCTACAACACCTTTCCCACCTACACCGCCCACGTTTGCCCAGACACCTCCCAACAACGTCAATTTTGCACCTCAACGCCATCCTTTCACACCGAGATCGCCGAGGCCTATGTCATCTCCGGGAGCAAGCTCTACTGTCAACGAAGGATATACATGCCGACCGATTGACATCCCACCGGTGGAGCAATGGAAACCTGATGTCGACTTCCACGACTCCAACAAGATCAATGGTCTGGATTTCCCCTCCAGAATCCGACAGAGCCGGTTTTCAAGCTACAAGGACATTGAAGGTATGGATCCTTTACAAGTCCCACTCTGGAAGTTCTTGTGCCAGGGTTTACACAACACCTGGCTCCGACGTATTGCATACGGACGCGAAACCTTCGTCCTTCCCTTTGACAACATAGGCACTACAGTATTTGTGGCTGAATTGGTATCACAACTACGCACCCGCAATGTGGATTTGGACAAACTTGCTACCTTTCGATCTCGCTCTGCTGGCCAATGTCTGAATCAAAAGGAAGCCACTCAAAATATGGCCAAAGACGTCGCTCAACTCCTCCAATCTTGGCTCCCGGCTCAACCTTCTGCGGACGTGGCGAGCCAACAACGTATTCTTGAACTGGAAGCTGAACTGGCCAAGGTGAAATCGGCCGCCAATACTTCACAGACTACGGCACCTCAGGGGTCTACACCAGCCACGACACCGATTGGACGTGCACTTCAAGGACAACCTGCAGCTTCCACAACCTTTGACCCTTCGTCTCTACTTATTTCTCCGGGATCCGTGAACTCCTGGCTCGTTGACAATCAACCCTCATCACTGACGGATACCCAATACAAGAAATGGTTGAAAGACCTGAAGTTGCCCCAGCCCGAGATGGACGTTCTGGAGAAGAACTTGGAGAAGGTCAATGAATGGTGGCAAAACCAACCCGATGATGCCTCCAAAACTATCCAACGCGCAAGCGTGGCTATGGGCATCGACCCCTGCAAACATAAAGGGGCCACTACTGATGAAGTCGTCCTCAAGATCATGACTGTGGCGTTATTGATGCACTCCTGACTAGCCGCGTACTTGAAATCACCGGGCTCAAAAGCAGCCAACATTATGCGAACTTTGGCCGTGGCTCATTCATGTATTCTTGTCCTTGCATTATTGACCCCCTTCACTTTGTCCCCTTCTGTTGATGTCTTTTTTGCTTTTCGGATGCTTCAAACTGTATTGATGGGCCAGTATGTGTTATTACATCCACGAGCCAATCCGAAACTCCGGGCCTTGCTAAAAGGCACTCCGATGCAGAGTATTTTCTTTTGCTTGTCGTGGGACGACTTGACAGTCGCCCTCCAATGTTTCAAGCACCCTCAGGCGGTGTATATTCGCTTCTGCCATATTGCTAATTTTCAACCTAAGTTTTATGTGGGTTCCACCTCTTCCTTTGTTTTGGACCGTGAACACTCTCGCTATCGGAAATTTCTGCAAGTGCAACAAAACAAATTAGTGTTGGCCGAAGTTGCCTTACGGTTTTGGTGCAGATTTGACAACTTCTGGATGTGGTCTGTTTTCCCGATCTACACCAATAAATCCAACTTTTGGGCTTTGGAACAAGCCTTAATTCAATTGTGGCAACCTCGATTAAATACTCCGTTCATTTACCAGTTTTTCAATTGCCGCGAGGGACTCATTGCGCGTACCAAATTTTCCGACTCCCGGCAATTCGGAGCATTTTCTTTGTGGCGGAAACTCCGGTGGCAATCTACACCCCATCATATTCGACGTGCTCTTCATAGTCCTCTTGTCCATCGACGAGTACAACTTTGGGAGATCATTCAGGATTTGGGCAGCAACTCCGTCCGACGCTTCCACATGGAGAAGAAACTCCGATCAAATGAAATTGGTGCCCAAGGATGCTATTTCATTCGACGCCTTGCCAACAACCTAGGAGAACCTCAGCGGTCGTACGCAATCAACGCCATTGATCGGGCCTTGACCTTTTGGAAAGCCAAACGAGTCAAAAAACCGGTTCCTCTTCGTGCACCTTGGCTACTAGCCCCCAATTGGACGCGCGACCTTCGACAGCTGCTCACTTCCCATGTTCATCGAACCCGTTGCTACAACACTACATTGCAGACTCCTTCCACCGGGATCGTCTTCACGAAGTTCCCGTCGGTTATGGACAGCTTGTGCAACCACAAGGAAGCCGCTACCAAGTGGGCTGACGGCGAAACCCCAAAGTGTGCCTGCGACGCATTACGACCTCATGCTCTTCATCATCACCAATCTGATCACCACCTGGTCCTGGAGGGCGACAACCTACATTTCGATGAAGGCCCACACACATCCATCGCGACGGGTTCGCTTCAAAACAAAATCTTCCCACCCTCCAAAGAAATCCAGACATCCCTTCGCCTTGCTCTGCGGACGTGGACTACCCGGAACGCAAGCGGTCAGGAACTGATAGCGCCTTAAACTCGAATGCGTGCAAAAATTTTAGATAAAAATTTTTGAGCCAAGAACCTTGACGCAAAAACCAAATATAACCTTGCGTATGTTGTGTTGTCGCGCGCGCGGGTTTGTTCCTCAGGTATATCACCTGATTGTTGCCGCGTTATGTTCTATGCTGTTTCTCCCGCGCGTGTTGCTGTGTACGCACACCGTCGTACTTACAGCTTTGTTTTATGCTTGCCTGTTTGGATAAAATCCCTTTAGCGACAAAACAATATAACCACAGAATTGTTCTTCGTTTTCGTAAGAACCTCAAACAAACTTGTTTGTGCTGTTCTTGTCACTGCAGTGAATCTTGAAACAACATGGTGCACTCATGTTTGTCACAGATGTCATGTTGATGTTTTTCTTCAAGTAACCATTTTGTTTCAAGTGGATTTTTTGTGTGGAATGGGTGCGCGGGAGCGCGGGCGGACGGCCGTTGCTTCCACCATTTGTCTCGGGCACGGCAGACCTCAGATCTCACAGTGCTCATTTCAGATTTTGTGTGTGATTTGCAGTTTCGCTTGTGGATGGATCGCTTGTTTTACCTGGCTGCTCTACGGTTAATTTGGGGTATCATGGCTGACTTGAATGTGCCTAACAGTGATGAGTTGCAACTTTCGGGACCTGATGCGCCTGCTCGTGATCCCCAACTTGGACAGCATGACAGTGTTTCTTTTGGTAGCAACTCCCCTTGTAGATATCCCGAAAATTGGACACCATGCTCGCCATCTGATCCAGGTGATGCTTTCGCTGGGTCTGCAGAAGCGGTCAATGGCGCAACTGCTTCCATCAGCTCAGAGCGCTGGGATGAGAAGAGGTCTCCAGTTGTGTCGGCCTCACAGCATGATGCGTTATTCGCAAGATGCCTTCTTTCGAATTGTGATTTCAGTGGTATCAAGATGCCTTGGGAGGTTGGTATTTTTAAAGACATTTTCGAAGATGGTCCATTTCCGCAGCAGCTTGTCCCATCCATGGAAATCAGTTCTGACTGTTCTTTTCCATTTGGGGTTGAACCCCAACTTGTTGCAGAGAAGGTTGCAGATGTTGCCAAGACTACTTCATCATGTCCTGTTTTCTCAACCTGTGTTTCGAGTGCCGATGGGGAGCTCTATGAAGAGCGTCGTGCAAACCTTAGAGAGGCTGCGATTGGTAAGCTGCTGATCATCTTACGACATTGTTTGCTTGCCAGTGTTACAGGCCGTCACATTATTGCCCTTGGAAATGTTGAGTTGCAGACCGCTGGAGCCAGGGACATCGTTGATGCGGTGGTTGGTGTCAGGTCACCAGCTACCCTGGTTAAGAGGGCAAATTCTCTCCTCTCATTCCTGAGGTGGGTTGCGAAGAGTTGCAGTGATGTTGTCAACCCTTTTGAAGAAGAAACTTTGTGGAAGTACTTTCAGTTTTTGAGAGATGTTGGCGCACCTGCCACGCGTGCCGATTCCACACTGTCTGCTTTGCGCTTTGCACACTTCGTTTTAGGTTTTGACAGTTTGGCAGGAGCGGTCTCAAGTAGAAGGCTGATTGGCATTTCCGAAATCATGCTTGCTGGAAAGCGTTTGTTGAAACAGGCTGCAGTACTTACCGTTTCCCAGGTTCGTGGTTTGCATGCTGCACTTGTCAACAAAAATTTGCACATCATGGACAGGGCTGTAGTTGGAGCGATTTTGATTGGGCTCTATGGTCGATGTCGAAATAGCGATTTGCAGTCCATACATTCTTTTGAGACTGATTTCGGACCTGATGGAGGCTTCATCACAATTGAAACATGCAACCACAAAGCAGGCCGTCTCGCAGCATTGAAAACCAGATTGCTTCCAATCTTGATACCAGCTCGCGGTGTCAATGGTGATGTATGGGTCAAAGATGTATTGCAAGTTTTCAACGATGCTGGTGTGAATTTGACAAACCCAATCAATGGGCCACTGCTCCCAGCACCTGCTGGTGAGGCAGGTGTCTTCATGAACCGTGGTTTGAGGTCTTCAGAAGTTTCGGCATTGTTGCGGATGTTTGTTGGTGCAATTGAACCTGGTTCTGCGGAAGGAGTGCCCGTGGTATCCAGTCACAGTTTGAAGGCCACGACACTGTCATGGGCGGCGCGTTTTGGCCTCAGCCCTGCAGTACGGTCCTTGCTGGGCCGACATTCATCTTGCTTAAATGAAACATTTGCAGTGTATTCAAGAGACCTCCTGGTGGGACCAGTGGCGGAGCTGCAGCGTGTGATTGACTCAATTGCCAATGATGAATTTTTCCCTGATTCACAGAGGTCATGTTTTTTCAGGGCCGATGCTCACCCTCAAGATGCTGGCATGGCTCTTGGTGAGAGCCCAGTTTTTGCGGCAGGTGACAGTTTTGGCGAAGGCTTGGTGAAAACAGAAACCCAGTGCGGGTTGGCTGGGATGGATGCCGTCTCAGTCGCGTCATCACCAGATGGCAATGCGCTGGAGCCTGAGAAGGTCGTCGAAGATGCAGGGTCATCTGACTCCACATCAAACGACAGTGAGCAGATGTCCTCAGACGATTCAGATACAGCCGAGCCACCACCAAAGGTGAAACGTTTCAGAGCGCGCATTCCAACAGATGAGAAGTGGTATGCCCACTCCAGGTCCCATCTTATCCATCGCTATGATGGGGACTGTCACAATGAGATTCGTTTCTTGGTGTGTGGGAAGAGATTGAATGACTCTTACAAGCTGTGTACGGAAGCAAGTGCATGGAACGTCCTGTGCAAGTCTTGCAACAGAAGGTGATGAGACGTTTGACCCGTGCAGGTCATGGTTGTTGAGATAGCTGCGACAAAAAGCTGTCAGTGCAGCGCAATTACATGTGAGCCATTTGATCAAATTTGTGAATCATCTTTTCCATGTGGCATTACTTGCAGGATCTCACATGTGGGCATACCGCCCTCGGTGGAAATGTACCCACCGTGATGTGTTGGTTCAAGGAATTTGATGCATGGGGCCTCCACTTTTATCTGGGTTTCACTTTCATGCTGAAAAATTTTGTTTTAACCTCTACAAGATACAGTGAAAGTAACATGTCAACTCAAAGACATTTGCTTTGCATTGACCCGCTCCTCGTTGGGCGCTCGCATAGCGATGACCTCCATCGTGGATTCTGAGGCTCAATTCAACCTGAGGCTGGAGCAAGTTCGTGTCCCGCAGACCCTCCAGGTTGCTCTGAAGAACTCTGGAGTTACAACAATTTCGTCTTTGGCATATGCTCATGGACAACCAGGACAACCAATTGTGGCGGATGAGTTCGCGGCCTGGGTTAGACAAATTGAACCAAGTGCCACCATCGGAGCTGTGTCGGCTCTCAAGCGTCTTCTATTTGAAAGTCAAACTCAGTTGCTGGCTATGCTGAAGGAGCAAATTACAAACCCAGAGCCGACAGTGGCAAGGAAAGTGCCCCAGGCGGAGCGTGAAGCTCGATTGGCCAACTTGAGGAACAGACTTGTTGGGGTCCTCATTGAAGGCCATGCAGAACCTTGCCATGCCCTCCTGGATGCAGCGACACAGTTGTACGACCAGAACATACTGCGATACATTCCCTTGGAGAAATGCTTCAGTCGCCTGACTGAGCTGTCGGCATCCAACAAAACTCATACCAAGTTGCTTGAAGTAGAGGCTTCGAAAGTAGTGGTGAAGGACAAGGATGCGGAGATTGAAGCCAGCGTTCAGTCTTCGTATCAGCTTCTGGAAGCCTTGAGGCGTCGTGGGTTGGCCCTTGATTTTGCAGGGGTAATGACATTTACCCGACATGACAAGTATGTGCAATTATTATTCTCACACCTCAACAGAGACCCACCGGCCGGGTACAATAGATGCAGTGTGTCCCAACTCATCTCTGCGGACCGCGCTGCATGGTGCTCACTTATCGAAAAGAATGTGAAGCCGAGGCCTGACCTTGCCGGAATCTTAGCCTTGGATACCGAGTTGGAAGAATCCCTGAAGACTTATGAAGTGAGTTTTGCACTCTTGCCACTCATGTCAAAATCGCAGACAAAGGTGACCCCCTCACATGGTGATGCAAATGGTGGTAACAAGGGCCAGCCCCAGCCTTCTCCCCCTAAAGGGGGAAAGAAAGGGCAAGCGAGGTACCGCCCTTACCAGACAAAAGGAAAAGGAAAGACCAAGTCAAAGTTCGAGCAAAGAATTCCGAAAGAAATTCTTGATGCCGGAGGCACTGCTGCAACACCAGACGGAGCACCAATCTGCTTCGATTTTGCCTTCAAGAGATGCCGTGAGACTGTTGCTGAAGGTTCCCGCTGCAGAAAGGGGTACCACCTATGTTGCATTTGCTATGGGCCTCACTCCATGGCTGACCATAAGAAACATTGACTAAACTTGCAGCGGGGCCACCTCAAACGCAAATTTTCCCAATGTACAGACCCTGCATTTGAGAATGAGCCATGTACAGTGCAAGACAAAGACCTTGATGGTGATTTTTCCGGAAGCACAACGACTCACTTGCCAAAGAAATCCAGTAAGACTGTTCTGCAGGAGACACCTGTGAAACCAACTCAAGCACCTCAGGATACGCAACCGGTCTCCGACAATTGCAATCCTACCCAAGGGGACAACAGCCTGCCAAAAGATCCGTTTATGATTGAGCTTTGTGCAGGGTCAGCCCGTGTTACATCATGTTTACAGCACCTTGGCATGCCTTCCTCCTTTGGCGTTGACCACATAAAGCAGCAAAACTCAGGGCGAGTCTTGATTGCGGACATGACCACTAAAGCTGGAAAAGACCTATGCTGGACCTGGTTGAGATCGCCAAATTGTGTGGGAGTGTTCATTGCACCCCCATGCGGAACATGCAGCAGGGCTAGGGGCATACCCGTAAAGCTGCCTAATGGGTTTCTAATAGCAGGGCCACAGCCACTACGCACGGACGAGCAGCCAAATGGCGTCACTGGACTCAGCTATACGAACAAACTGCGTGTTTCCCTGGCCAATGCTATTTACCATTTTGTGACGGAAGTTGCACTTTTTTGCCTTGACAACGACATGATCTTGTGCATAGAAGACCCCAGGTCGTCGATTTATTGGCGTACCACCTTCTTTGCACCACTCGCCAAAAGGCTTAAGTTTACTGCCCATCAGGCTTGCGCCTATGGCTCCAGCAGGCCAAAATGGACAGTCTTAGCACATAATACCACAGCGTTGCTCCAACTCAATCGGACCTGCCCCGGCGTAAGCAAAAACCATGTGCACAAGCCATGGGGCGTAGTGAAAGGCCCCGAAGGGCAAAAATTTTCTACCTCAGAAGAGACCGCTTACCCATTGCCGTTGGCTTACCACATCGCTTATTGCTTGGCGCAGGAACTGATCCTGAAAGGTTGGAAACCTCCATCTGAGGCCTTTTCACCGCCTGATGATGTCTCATATCAATATCTGAGGTCCATCGTTGGGGTGCAACCTAGATCGAGTAAAATAGCCCCCCTAGTTTCAGAATTCCAACATGTGCTTGCCATCCATGTCCCGCCGAATTCCCCTGTCCCCATCCTCCCAGGTGAAAAGCTGCACGACGCCTGGCATGGCATCCCATCGGGTTCTTGCCTCTTGAAGCGTCCACCATTACGGTTAAATTGGGGTAGTGGGGTAAATAACCAGAATGATCCGAGAAATTGCCTTAGGGTTAATAATGTCCACCCTAATAGTCCCTGCGGTAATAGCCCCTCAGACAATGTTTTGCATTTTGGTGTTTACAGGTCCGGTGCCCAGTTTGTAACTGCAGCTGCAAATGCCGGACATCCTGTAGGGGGTGAAGCTAGACTGCCCAATGCCCTTAGTGAAGCCATCCGCTTTGTGTCATGCCACTCTGTGCATGAAGTGGCCCAACACAGGCTGTCCACTTTGAAGTTTTGGTTGGCTCGTGGGAAAGCACTAGCTGCTGCAGAAAAGGATTTGCATGACTCTTTGCACCCTTCGATCAAGAGCATCCTCGCTCCAAAAAGACTCCTCCTTTGGAAAGAGATGCTTGCATTTTACAATTATCCGGACCCTGCCGTGTTTGACGAAGTGGTTTCAGGGGTGTGCCTTTCTGGGACGGCGCCATCGGTCCCATTCTTTGAGCCTAGCTTCAAACCTGCTAGGATTACGGAAGGTGAATTGGCCTCGTCAGCTCGTGCTTCGCGTGTGGCACTTTTGGCTTCAGTGAGATCCTCAGGTGACCTGGAAATCGACACCGAGGTTTACAATAAAACTTTGGATGAAGTCGCCTGTGGGTGGCTTGAAGGGCCGTTGGATTTGGGCATGTTGGGTGATGATGCTGTGGTTAGCCGGAGGTTCGGCATCCGGCAGACATCTGGTGAAGCGACGAAGATCCGTTTGATTGATGACTTCACTGCCTCAAATGTTAACCAGACGGTGCAGGTTGATAATGCACCAAAGCTGCACACACTTGACATCGTGGCGGCGCTCTGCATGGAATTGTTGAGGCTGCCCTGTGGTGAAGCCTGGGTTGGAAAGACAATAGATCTCTCCTCGGCATATAGACAACTTGGAATTTCTCCATCATCGCGGTGGGTCTCTTACATAGCCGTGTATGACCCTTCGTCTCGATGTGCAAAGATCTTCTCCATGAGGGCGCTGCCGTTCGGAGCCAGCCGATCGGTTTATGCATTCTTGAGGGTAGCCCACTCCCTTTGGTGGCTGGGTTGCACTGCAATGAAATTTCTTTGGAGCAGCTTTTTCGATGACTTTATAACTTTGTCGCGCAAGAGTGAAGCTGATGCCATGTCTATTGCCTCGTCGCAGTTCTTCCGCCTCCTGGGTTGGTTGGTGTCGGCTGGCGAAAAAGACTTGCCCTTCTCCGAAACTTTCAAAGCCTTGGGAGTGGAGATAGATTGCTCTGCCTGGCAAAGTGGTCTAGTGAAGTTTAGGAACACCCCCAAACGCATATCCGAGCTCAGTGAAACGATATCTTCCGCGTTGAAGCGGGGCCGCCTTGGCTCCCATGAGGCCCTTGTTCTCAGAGGCCGTATGCAGTTTGCCAGAGCCCAAATCTGGGGTAGAGCGCCGAAGTTGTGCTTGGCGGCAATTACAGCGCATGCTTATGGCGAGAATGACGGCAGCCTTTCAAATCATGCAAAAGCTTGTTTGAACGCCTTCCTGGATAGCCTGACAGCTGCGAGGCCCCGAGAAATAACAGCCCAATGGGATTTGCCATCATTGCTCTTCACAGATGCCAGTTTCAATCCTGAGAATGAGAGTTGGCCATGCGGCCTTGGAGGGGTCTTGTGTGATTCGACAGGAAAGCAGTTGGCGGCCTTATCAATATCTTTGACACTGGATGATTTGCGGTCCCTAGGGTACCCCCAAAAATCCACGGTGATCTTCGAAGCAGAGCTGTTGGCTCTTGTCCTGTGTGTTAGGTTGTGGCGCAAGATAATCCAAAACCGCCCATGCGTGATGTATGTTGATAATAACGGTACCAGGGATGTTGCTATAAGTGGTAGTGCCAGAACCTTTCCCGGCTCATCGCTGGTGGCGGCTTTGTTGTCACAAGAGGATGCCGCTTGCGTCACTGCGTGGTACGCTAGGGTCCCTTCACAGAGTAACATTGCAGATCCCCCCTCTAGGAACTCTTCCGAAGGCATTGATGTGAGCTTTGTGAATGTTAGCCTGGTGAGGCTTCACTTCGACAAACTGTTGGGGGATGTCATGAAAAGCGGTCAAAGTGGGTGAATGTGAAACACGGTCTCAGAGGTTTGGATGTGGGGCTTCCCATTGCATGGCCAAGCCGGCTTGACTGAAAAACAATGGAGAAGCGAATGTATGTTGCCTTGTGGAAATCTGGCCGACAGGCCTTTTTGGATTTGCAGAAATGGAAACTTGAATGTGAATGTCCTGGAGGACAGATCGAACAGCGAGACCTTGAGATTTCCCCACGCTTTGTGAGAAAAATGGCCGCAGTGAATTCACCTCGGTTTCTCAATGCAGTTCATGTCTTCAGTGATGTGCATTTTTGTTTTATGTTAATGTTTGTTTGTTTGTATGTTTGGTTTTTGGTAAATCGGAAGTACGACTTCTTCACTTGGCGTCGAAGCGTAGGGTTTAAGCAAGCGGTCAGGAACTGATAGCGCCTTAAACTCGAATGCGTGCAAAAATTTTAGATAAAAATTTTTGAGCCAAGAACCTTGACGCAAAAACCAAATATAACCTTGCGTATGTTGTGTTGTCGCGCGCGCGGGTTTGTTCCTCAGGTATATCACCTGATTGTTGCCGCGTTATGTTCTATGCTGTTTCTCCCGCGCGTGTTGCTGTGTACGCACACCGTCGTACTTACAGCTTTGTTTTATGCTTGCCTGTTTGGATAAAATCCCTTTAGCGACAAAACAATATAACCACAGAATTGTTCTTCGTTTTCGTAAGAACCTCAAACAAACTTGTTTGTGCTGTTCTTGTCACTGCAGTGAATCTTGAAACAACATGGTGCACTCATGTTTGTCACAGATGTCATGTTGATGTTTTTCTTCAAGTAACCATTTTGTTTCAAGTGGATTTTTTGTGTCCCACCCTGTCTTTCGACTCCCACCCTGATTCTTGCAGTTTTGGCCATTAGGATTTGATCCTCACCTCGCTCCCGAACGTCCTCATGCAATCCGAATTGACATTGCTTGCAGCTGGCATCAGCATCGTGTTGCAATACATGAATTCCTCGATGGAACAGGCCAACCGAAGTGACTGGACTCTGAGGGCTTCGAGGTGCGAGAACATGGAAGAGATTTTGAAAGCCTGCACGATTTTGCTGGAGTGCTGCGGGCGCTCGGACTTCATGCGGTCTATTTACCACTTATGGGCGCTTTGCAGTAACGCAATGTTCTTGTTCGAGCAGCAGTGGTGGCCCGAGCAACCTACGGAAACAAGGACCCACGTTGCTACCCCACAGGTGCCTCTGAAATTATCGGCACTGCTGCGTCCTGGATGGAGGGATCAACATAGGTTGGTCCGGCTTGGGATGGCCTCCCTCGTGGTTTTCCGTGATTGGTTTACAGAATTCTTTGATGCTCATTTGCACCAAGATGTCCTCAACATCGTGAAGGACTCCCTCCTGATCTTCCAGACCGCGGTCGACCTTTTTGATTTGCATGAAGCAGTTCATCACCAACCTGCTGCTGCACTGCCTGATGTTGAGGACGCACCGACACATTCCTCTACAGACACCCCCGCGCCTACAGGCGGGACGTGAATGTGAAACACGGTCTCAGAGGTTTGGATGTGGGGCTTCCCATTGCATGGCCAAGCCGGCTTGACTGAAAAACAATGGAGAAGCGAATGTATGTTGCCTTGTGGAAATCTGGCCGACAGGCCTTTTTGGATTTGCAGAAATGGAAACTTGAATGTGAATGTCCTGGAGGACAGATCGAACAGCGAGACCTTGAGATTTCCCCACGCTTTGTGAGAAAAATGGCCGCAGTGAATTCACCTCGGTTTCTCAATGCAGTTCATGTCTTCAGTGATGTGCATTTTTGTTTTATGTTAATGTTTGTTTGTTTGTATGTTTGGTTTTTGGTAAATCGGAAGTACGACTTCTTCACTTGGCGTCGAAGCGTAGGGTTTAATCACTCCCTTCATTACAAAAGACCCATATTGATGAACTTTGGCACCGTTCTATTCAATCCCACTACAACACTCTCCACAATCACATCACGCACAAAGACATCGTACGCTTCAAACGTCTCTTTCCAGAAGCCATCTTCCACAACGAGGACAAGCGAGCTACATCCCTACGAATCTACTGCCCCGTACTCTATTTCCAGTGCCTCACCACCACCTTCGCCGACCCGTTGGTATTTCGAAAATTGGAGAACAGCCCAAATGACATCATCGAGAAGACCATCGTCGAGATCAATCATCAATTTGGCAAAGCATACCCCTGGGCCCTTGGCGCTGGACGAGACCTACCGAATGCCTACGTCCTACCCAAGCGGAAGAAACAGTTTAGGGCTGGGCGACCCATTGTCAGCTTCTTCACGGCACCTTTCCGACCCATGTTGAACTGCATCGCCAAACTGATCTACAACCTCCTGCCCCAAGCGTTTCCCCACAACCTGGCAAAAGGTGATGTATTTGATCTCATCAAGCTCCTCAAGGACACCGACTTTGATTCGCTCCCTACTCCCCGCAGACACAACCAAGATCTTGCGGGCTTCATTGCTAGCTGGCGACTGACCTTGCAATTCCTCTCAACTATTATGAGTACCAACCCCGACGAGATCATCTCCGTGAAGGCAACCCCGGGCAACACCACAGGTGATGTAGTCAAAGGCCGCACATGCCGTACACTCAATGTGACCAGAAAAATCTTCATTCGGGACATTGAACGCATCATCCTGATGTCTCTGAAGATGACTCAATTCTCCATCGGCACTTCAGTTTTTGAACAAATCCGTGGGTCTCCTATGGGCTCCCCACTGAGTCCGGCATTGTGCATGATGGTCGTCGCACTTTCTGAAGAAACCTGGTACCGAACCTACCGTACTACCCTAAATACTATGGATCTTACAGCTCGCCTCCTTCGCTATGTAGACAACAGACTGTGCTTGTCGGATCCTTCCTGGGAGTACGAAATCTGCTTCGCCAATTTCCTTCACCCGGAGTTCTACGGTCACCCCATCATTTTGGAAACGGAGCCGGACCAGGAGTTCTTGGGCTTTTGCATCGAGTTCGACCCTTTCGCCCTTCGCTACAGCCCTCCGCGCGACTTCAACCAGGTCATGGCACCATTTTCTGCATCACCTCTTACCGTCCAACTTTCGGGTTTTGTTTCACGACTATTTCTGGTCGCCAAATGTGCGCACCCTACACACGAACGAACGCGAGGTTTTGCCGCATTGCACCGTTTGTACAGAGCTGCAGGTTTTAGCGAGTCCGATTTAGTTGCTGCCGCCAAGCCGATCCGTCAATATTTACACATTTCTTCATTGTGGTAAAATCCAGTGCCGCCTTGACGCTTGCGCTTACGTCTCACTTTTTACATCCGCTGAACGTCTCACCTCTTCCACCCATACGTTATTTTTATTCGACACTGGTGTATTACGTTCTCAGCTGGCTCATCCTCAAACTCGGCTTCCTTTATATCTTGGCCCACATTCGACGCTTCGTGATGGCTTCCTCGTCTCCTACGACTTCAATTCCGATTCAAGAACCAGTTTTTCTTCAATTTCTTCATGATGTTCACCATGCTTACCTTCTACTACATCGAGCAATGGCGTTACTCCCACCCACTCTCATTCCCAATATTGAACCTACGCCTCTTCCTAGCACAGACGTATGGAATCAACCCGATGGGCTACGACCGCACTACTCGGACCAGACCAACGACTTTATTGACAATGCCCACATCCCGTCGCCGGATATAGCTGAGGACGAGGCACTTATGGATGAACTCTTGGAAACCCATCTTCCTGAACCACATCACCACGTGGCCGCCCCGTCACCTGAAGTCCTACCTGCACCCTCGAAGCTTTCTACCAGAACACCATCACCGCCGAACCGCAAACAGAAAGCCAAAGCAGTTCCCAAAGCGCCTGCAAAACGTCGTCGCCGACTTGACAAATCCCGATCCCGCTCCTCGAGCCCATTGTCAATCTGGACTTCTGAAGACAAACAGAAACTTCGCACTTTGAAGGCGGACGAGAAGTCTCGATTTTCATGGCGGGTGATCTCGACCAAGATGGGCAAATCGGAGGAAGATGTTCGCTCTATGTGGAATAAGATCAAAGACAAACTTGGCTGACCAACGGCACGCGCGAACTAAAGAAAAAGCTGTCTTGCGGCACCATATTACAGTTTCACCACCCGAACTTGTGGGTTCCCTTTCCTCTTCTTTACACCGTTTATTGCTTTATTTCGACCTTACACTTTTTGACCTTCATAAACTTGGGCATTGTTGCTCCACTGAAACCTTGCACTTTCACATCATACACCCCGCCAGCCATTTACTATGTCTCTCCGCATTCACCTGGATCGATATTGCCAACTGCGAGCTATGTCCCACGACAGGATCTCTCCTACACGACGATCACGCTCTCCAACAAGGGCACCGTCCTCCGCTATGGGGTCTTCATCCTTTCAACACCCATCGAATCGGACTCCGCCTTCGACACCCCATCGACCGGTTATTTTCCAATTGGACCTGAAGCCTATGCAGCAACTTGCCGTCCGCAACCCATACTACAACATCCTGGCCCCCAAGATCGCGGGCAACCTCTCCACTGCCGTCTATGACAGCTTGTTCCAGACGTTCAAGGTGATCTACCCGGATTACGCTCGCAGTCACTTCGTTTCAGACCTCAAAACAGTGGTTACCGACACGCTTTTACAACGATGGTCGATACACCTACCACCGACAGATTTCTACATGATGATTGACACCGATCAAGGAGCTCAGATGCTTGACGACCTCCCTCATTCTCTCCTGGACGTTTTGAACTGGTTCTATACCCGACATGGAAAACTCATCAACATCTCGATGCCTTCACGACCCGTGAGTGTTCACCTTTGTTGCTGACACCCCATCCAGATCCACAAGACACAGGTTTCGCTGTCCATGTTCAAGTGATTCCCCGCGGGCATCCATTCGTCACGGCCACCCGATACACTAAGACTGCCGCGTGATCAGCCCTGAGATAGAATTTTTGATTCGCTCACGTCTATGCCTATGCGGAAAAGAAAAATGCACTCATTGTACAGTCCTCCGCCTTGATATTCGCTTTTTTGCCTCCCTCGTTTCTCTTGTTTCTCTTTTTTGCTTCTCGTGCTTAGATGTTTCATTATGGACTTCTTTCAACGGAATTTCGGCTTTAGTTCAGTTCTTTTCGATATCATATTACTGCTTCTGTACATGATGACCTCTGCCACGGATGATGATGCTCGGCTGGTTTCAACCCGCTCTTCACCTACATCCGTACATGGCCCAGACCCACATCTCCCACCTGAAGATCCTACTTCGGCATCGTATATTCCCAGGGCAGCTAGAATGATTCCAACCTCTACAACTGTTCATTCCGTATTTTTCAAGAAGCTGAGCTATCCCTTGTCTTCTCGTCCCGATGAACTTTGGATCGTGGAAAGGACACTTGATGGTACTGAAACGTGGAAGCCAGTGGAAACATTTTTGGAGAACATGCACCTCGCCAACGATCGTGCCACTCTACGCACTACGGCCAACCATTGGCGCCGATACTATGATGTACCCATCCAATCATCCTCCTCCCCTACGGCAATTTCTGTTCCTGTTCTCCCACATCCTGAACATGCCAATGTCTACGTCTCTCAACCGTACGAAGCGATACCAGACCAGCTTCATATTTTACAATCATGCTGGGGACGTTCTGCCCAACACCACTCTCAAGGTACCACCACTTCTTTATATTGGCCACCATGGCGATCTACACCACCTTCTTCACCATCGGCAACATTGCACCGGACCTTACATCTCAATCGCCCTACCGTCCCTCCTCAACATGTACATTGTCCAGTGGATGCGAACGACCCTGGCCCGATGGATATGTCTGACTCCAGTGTGTAACACACCACATCATTTGGCGGCATAGAAAAAGAACCGTGACTACACGTGGACTCGTGACTACTCACTAGGTACACCGTCTTCCTCCATATTTGGATTTTGGGCTTCACTCTTTGATCATTATCATATATTTTTATGTTGCAGCCTGGGCTTTCCGCTTTACGCTTGACACTCGACGCCATGGCTCATTCTTCTCGCCCTCATCCATATCGCGCTACATCCACGATTGATACACCACAAGGTCCCCGAACTGTTGGATGGTTTGCCGGACACCGAGGCCTTCCTGGTCACGTGAACCCTCCTCCAAACCGACCTGTTCTGATCTTGATTGACTACTCTCCTTTACAGGAATTGACTCACCGCAGCGAACCTGACCGTGAACACTACATGGCTATGGCCAGTTCAAATCTCAAGAATGTTAGTGGCTACGAACTTGAAGCTCTGTTTACCTGGTCACGCCAGATGGAACCAATTGAAGCCGGCATCCTTCCTACTGGAGAACTACGTTTCTGCATCTCAAAAAGACTTAGGACCCAATGGAACATCCAACTTGACCCTTCGAATTTGGAGTTTCGATATTGCGACCTGGAAGGTGATACATTCCAAGTCCCCAATGATATGACGATCATGCAGCTTTTGGAAGAATACCGGCCCGAATG